GAGGGGGAGGGGGGAGGGAGGAGGAAGAAGGGCTGGGGCTGCCCTCTGTTCAACCCCCAGTGCCAACAAAAAAGAAAAAAAATAGCTGAAATACTCAATTTTTATTTGTCCAAATAAAATTGGGTGCAGCTGCATGGGGGAGATAACTGCTAATGTCCAGTAGCACAATAAGGTCATTATAGTTGGCGACAATTCATTGCATATTTCCAGTTGCGGCAGAGTGAATTGAAATGTCCCCAACACAGATGACTGCTGTTTAAGGTCACAGACATGCCAGTGACCCTGATCTGACCCTTTCACAATGTACACAGGTAACCAAGTGTCACCCTGTCCCCTTAAGCATGTACAATTATGTCTCAATTGCAAATCAGAAAGAGAGGGCTGGGGTATAGCTCAGTGGTAGATCTCCTTCAACCCTACATAAGGCCCTGGGTTCTGCATCTCCAAAAAGAAAAAGAAAAAATTTAAAAGGAAAAGAAAAAAATCTGTTAATTCTATCTTTTCTTAGTGAATAAATTTATAGGAAAACTGCCCAGTGTGGTGGCACATGATTGTAATCCTAACTCTTGGGAAGCTGAGGCAGGAGGGTTGCAGCAAATTTTAGCCCAGCCTGGGCTACATCGTGAGAGATCAGGCCTGAACTACATAAGGATATTGTGTCTCAAAAACACCACACCAAACTAAATCAACCCTCCCATAAAATAGGAACAAAGACAATAAAACATGTATAGGAAAACTATAAATACAGCCAGGCATGGTGGTGCACACCTGTAATCCCAGCACTCGGGAGGCTGAGGCAGGAGGATCATTGTGAGTTCAAGACCAGCCTGGGCTACACAGTGAGTTCTAGGTCAGTCTCAACTACAAAAAACAAAACAAACCCAAAAAAACAAACAAAAACTATAAATACAGGCATGAAATGCTTTTTTTTTTTTTTGGTTGTTTATTTATGCTTTTGAGACAGGGTCTCCTTGTGTAGTTCTGGTTGATTTGAATTCACTGTGTAACTGAGGCCTTGAATTCACAGTGGTCCTCCTGCCTCAGCCTCCTGAGTGCTGGGATTATAGGCCTGTACCACCATGCCCGGTGCAGAGAAGAAGATTGAAATTAGAAAATTCAGACATTAAGAGAGGCAGCCAGGTGCATGCCTATAATCCCAGCACTTGGGAGGCTGAGGCAGAAGGATCAGTGTGAATTCAAGACCAGCCTGGGCTACATAGTGAGTTCCAGGTCAGTCTCAACTACATAGTGAGACCCTGTCTCAAAACAAGAGAGAGGTACAGAGTCAGGGATGAAAACATCTAATGTTCATTTCTTAGGGTATTGCTTAAGGGCTGGGGATTTGGCTCAATGGCTCTGCTGCCTGCCTTGCAAGTGTAAGGGCCTGAGTTCAACCCCCAGTACCCCCCCAAAAGAAAGAAAGAAAGAAAGAAAAGGGTATTGCTTACAAGAGATGCTTTTTATATTTTTATCTATAGAATACTTCAATGACTACAATAATTCACATTAAAAAGTAAAGGTTTGAGAGAGGACTCAGATTGTTTTCATGTGGATTTAAAACAGGAGATGAAAATATATAAACATCTTCTGCAGTGTGTCCTAGGGCCCCAGTGGGTGCCTACAGCTGGGTATGGTACTTGTATTAGTCACTTTCTGGCTGGGATAAAGTATGTGACACCACAACTTAAAGCAGGAGAAGGATGTTTTGACTGGTGGTTTCAGTGGGTTCAGTCCATGGCCAGTGGCTCCAAGGCAGGAGCAGTGGCCTCCTGGTGGCCAGGAAGCACAGAGAAGAGGGAGGAGCTGGGAGGGAGACAGACCTTCCAGGTCACGCCCAGTGACCCACCCCTTCCAACTGGGCCCCACCACCCATGGTGACATGGAGTATTTTAGACCTGGACCATACCAGCTCTGAACCCTACATGTCTAATATCTGAGATGGCTAGTGAGTGGCTAGTGGGTAGGCAGAATACACAGCATGGATATATTGGGTCAAGAAGAGATTTCAGCAAGCAATCTAAATTTGCAAATTATTTGTATCTGGATTTTTCTGTTTAGTGCTTTCTGACTGTAGTTGACTTTGGGTAACTGAAATCAGTCTAATAAATGGGGACTCCGCTATTTACAAGGAAGTAACCCTGGTGGCTGTTTCTGGAGGGGAAATGTGAGCCCCTGGCTTTAGGGAAAGGGAATCTTATTCCTTTGGCAGGGGTACGTTGCGGCAGGTTCTCATTACACAACTCAGGCTGATCTTGAACTCACTATGTAGCCCAGGTTGGCCTTGAACTTGCAATGATGCCTCTGCCTCAGCTTCCAGAATGCTGGGATTACAGTTGTACATCACCACGCCTGGCTACTGACTCCTTTTCTTAAATGTGTTTGGTGGTTTATTTCTTTCCATCTTTCTGTTTCTCTCTCTTTCTCTTCTGTTACCCCTCCTTTCTTCTTCTTCTCTCTCTCTCTCTCTCTCTCTGGCACCAGGGATATGCAAGACAAGCACTCTACCACTGAGCTACACACCTCAGCCCCTAAAACAATGTTTAAAGTCTAAAGTGCCTCTCCTTCCTCCCTATCTGACCATTTTCATGCCCCTCTTTAGCAGGAAATCCCACCACCCTTTTTAGTATGCAATTCAAGTAAACAACTATGTGTTCTTATTCTTTCCCCAAAAGTCAGCATGGTGCACACCCTGTTCTGAACTTCTAATTTCTGTTTAATTTGTTTAAGGGGCCTTTCCATTGTTGAACCTTCAAGACCTTCCACAGTGTTTTTTTTGAGACAGGGTTTCACTACGTAGTCCAGACTGGCCTTGAACTCGGTGTGTAGCTCAGGCTGACCTTGAACTTCTGGCAGTGTTCCTGCCTCGCCTCTCCAGTGCTGGGATCACAGGCGTGCGCCACCACACCTGGCTTCCACAGTCTTATACCATCCTCCCTTGGTATCTGTGGTAGGTTTGGTTCTGGGCCCCCTGTGGATGCCAAAATCCATGGTTACTCAAGTCACATATAAAATGGTGTGATATGGCTGGGTTTGGTGGTACATGCCTGTAGTCCCAGCTACTGGGAAGGCTGAGGCGGGAGAATTGTAAGTTTAAAGCCAGCCTGGGCAATTTAGTGAGATCCTGTCTTAAAATTAAAGGCCTGGGAATGTCGCTCAGTGGTGGAGCATGCCTGGTTTAATCTGTCATACCACACACACACACACACACACACACACAGTATTTGCATAGAGCCTACACACACCCTTCCTTAGACGTTTTTTCTTTTTTCAGTGTGAACACAGTATTCATAGAGCCTACACACACCCTTCCTTAGACGTTTTTTCTTTTTTCAGTGTGTTTATGTCTCAGTCACTTTCCTCATTGCAGGGACCTGGCACCCACAACGTAAGGGAGGAGAGGTTTATTTTGGATCATGTGGGGCAGGGGGCCTGGTGGGAGAGCCGCTCACACATGGGTGCCCAGGAGACAGACTCTTCCCAACCACCCCACAGAGAGCCCAGCCCCCAACTGCACATTCACGCATAAACCCACTGGTGGGCTAGTCTGCGTGTGGTCATCACGCCCCGTGACCCGTCACAGGCACCAGAGGCCCGCCTGTGAGGGCGGGGGGCGTCCAGATGTAACACGGAGGTGCTAGAGGCTGAGCCGGGACCTTTGCACTGAGTTACACCCTTGGCATTTTTTTAAAAATTTTGAGACAGGGTCTCACTGCCTTGCCTGGGCAGAACTTGAACTTGCAACCCTCCCGCCTCCACCTATGGAGTAGCTGGGATTACCTGGTGCATCATTTGTGCTTGGCCACCTGTACACTTTAAATCCCTGGGATCAAGGGTTGGCGGGGGATGAAGAAAGGAACTGAGGTGTGTTATGTTCACGCACCAACTCCCCACAGGGGATGTAAACACTAGGTACCACAAACACGGTCTAATAAAGGTGTCTCATGCAGCATGTGCGCTATGCAGATGGTCGTCTCAGCATTGTTTAGGGAAGGACAAGGTATAATAATGCTTGTGGGCGACCACAGTGAGCTTGACATGGTCTGGGGCTGGGGGACCCTGTGGGTGGGATCCTGTGTAGACAGAGGCGGTCGGTGGAGCTTTGCTGTGTTTGGGAGCATCGTGCCTGGAGACTTTGGAATGAGCCGGTGTGAGAGAAACCAGCATATGCCGGTCATCCCAGCACTATGGGAGGTCAGAGCAGGAGGACAGGAAGTTGCAGCCCTTCCTGGGCAATTTAACGACTCAACAAGACCCCGTCTCAAAATAAAAAATAAACAATGGCTGGGGATGTAGCTCAGTGGCAAGGTCCTGGATTCCAATCCCGTCGCTGCCAAAAGGGGGTAGGGCAAGAGTGTGAAGAGGGTGGGAAGATGACGCAGGCACATCTTGCAGGGCCGGGAGGGAGCCATGGAGGGCTCTGAGCTTGAAGGGACAGGGTCTGACTCTGGTGCTCACTGTGTGAGGAACAGTTGGGGCTGTGGCTGCACCGACCCAAGTGTTGGACAAAGGGAGCCGCAGCCTGGTGTGGGGCGCAGTGGCACTGAGGAGTGGGAGGATCCTGGGTGGGTTCTTTTGTTTTTGTTTCTTTGAGACAGGGTCTCCTTATGTAGTTCAGGCTGGCCTTGAACTCATTATGTAGCCCAGGCTAGTCTCAAACTTCCAGTGATCCTTCTGCCTCAGCTTACCAAATGATGGGATGAAAGAGGTGCGCCACCATGGCCGGCTCTGGGTAGGTTCTGATGCGACCCGGACTCCTGGAGTCAGATTGGATTGGGGTCGGGCCAGAGCGAGAGGCCGAGAATGCTTCCAAGTTTGGAACCTTAGAGCCTCCCACAGGGCAGAGACCGGTTTACTGGAACTCCGAACAGTTGGCAAGAGGTCTCCGGCGCGGCCGCGCAGTGCCGGGAGCCGCC